TAGTTTCTACTATAGTATTAGTTAGATATCAACGGAAAAGAATTTGGTTTTAAGTGTTTTTTTTTTTACATTTACTTTTAATTGTTTTTTTTTTTGTAACTAACGTCGGCAAAATTGTCGTCTTTCTTTTAGTTTTTGGCGGAAAGAAAAGTATTTTCTTTTTGGGGATTTCCTTTTGTGATTCTTGATACGAATCGTCACATATAATATATGCAAATATTTAAAAACGTGAATCCACACACGCATACAACCACCCTTTTACATGTCAAGCCATGTGCCAAAAAAGCGATTGAAATGTTGAAAAAAGTTAAATAACACTAGAGTCTAGAGTATGGATGACAAATAAACTAATAAAGAGATAGATGGTTCTAAGAAGTGACTAAAGAAACATATACACAACCCTATCCACGAAGGCCAACATATATGTATATATACAAACACGTAGATATTATGAAATTACAGTGTAAGTGACATCGATCTCGGTATGTACTGTAAAATAAAGCTGTATAGTTTAAAATCTTTTAACAAAAAAAAACGATGTATGACTAGACTACACGTTGGATTTATCATTTTAGACTTGTCTCCGTTTTTTTCTTGTTTTTTCTGTCATTGTAACAGGGTAAGTAATAATCATTGAATATGAGTCTAATTTGTTTAAATACAATTCTCCTATACATGCAGAACTAAAATTCTAAAATCGTAAAAAAAAATTCTAGAATCGTAAATGCTTAAAAGCTTATGACATCAGACAAGTTGACAACAAAAAAAAAAACAACTAAAATCAACGATAAGCTGTTCTAATTAATAGTATAAAATTTGAACTTCTAATATAAATTTCTAATGTATTACGTGTCTTATCCTTTAATGTCGCACCCAAATTTACATACTTTTTATAAAATATTTAGAAATTCTCATTTTCTTGTCGTTAACCAAAAAAGGTGGAGGAAAAAGAGAAACATACACATAGATTTAAGGCCCTTTTTACGTATGCGCGTCATAAATGAAAAACACTTTGAGACCATCTTTATCAATGAGTTCTTAAGAAAATCTTAAGATGATTTTAGTAATTTTTTAGTATTATTACTAAGAACCAAAGTTAAGATCCAAAATGAAAGTGGCTTACCTAAGAGCCAAAAAGAGGTAAATCTTAACTTTGCTTCTTAGTAATAATACTAAAAAATTACTAAGATCATCTTAAGATTTTCTTAAGAACCCATTGATAAAGATGGTCTGATTAGTATAAGAAAATTTAAATTTTAATTAGTATAAAGAAAAAAAAGCACACGTAAAAGCTTTTAGCCATGCATGCACGATGTTTACTGGTTATCGAGAAAGCATTATCGTTGTTGGATAAGACCTTAACTTTCTCTCGTATCATAAAGTTTTTTTTTTTTCTTTCTTATTCATAAATCTTGCCTCTTAATCCTTATCCATTATCCACACAAAATTCAATTTTGTAGGCAGCTTTATAAATGAAATAAATTCTAGTAATGCTTTACACCATTTTGACTCGATTATATGTATTATATATATCCACTATTCGAAATGGCCCACGATATCTGTTTTTCATATGACGTCAAATATCTTATTTTGTCTAAAGCCAAATTAAGTACAGTATGTGAATATCTTGGTTATATGCAGACTATACTATATATAGTTCAATCCAAATATAAAATATGAGTGTCGGACGTCAAAAAGAATGAATAGGTACTTTGTAGGCTTATTATTTAATTATATTTTCAATTTGGTCCTTATTATCTTTTATGACGATAAAATTTGAATTTTCGATCCGATGAATTTATATTGTACGTAAAAATATAAAAACATGTCGGTCCGACCCAACCTAGAGTGGTCAGGCAGGTTTAATGATGGTTTTGGCCTGATTTATTTGTTAAACAGTGGGTAAATTGTGCAATATTCTTCCTTAATTTTCTTACCAATTCTAGTGTTCTCTTGAAGAAACAACTTCTTGTCCTGATATCTTGCTTCTGTCAACGAACCTCCCGCTATAACACTTCCCAAATTATTAATGAAGGAGAATCTAAAGGTACCTTATTATTCACTTTCAAACCAAGCGCACATGGTCCAAGTTGGAAATGGTTAACTAATTTAGTCACCTATCACTATCAAATGCCAACAGTTGGGTGTGATGCATTATACATTTGTAATACTAGACCAAGAGATATGATAGAATATCCAACATGGAAAACGAATCAAGTAAAGCCTATAATACTCTCCTTTTCATGCGTTTAAAGGGTACTAAACCCTTTCTTTGCAGAAACTAAGCTTTGTTCAAAAACATTGATACCGTTGTGTACTTGTGTTGGTTTAAAAAGCTTTCATGTCATTTTTTTTTGTATATTCTAAATCATAGATAAATAGCAGATTAAATCGCATATCTTTCAATCCGACCTAAAACAAAATCATTCTCTTTTTCTTTCAGTTTCTAACTTGCCGGACAATTACGTGATCTTAGTTTCCGATTTCAACGTTAAAAATGTCCACAGAAAAACACTAGACCGTGGCATTCTCGACTATTTGTTAATTAGACACAGTTTGTTTACTTCCCAAATGTCGATTGACCAAAAGAAAGCACGTAAACTTAAAAAATTCTGCAACAAAAATATGTCCCTTCAGTAAATAATTAACAAAGTAGATCATATTCATGAATATAGTAAACCAAAATCATCAGCTTTTAACATTATATATAAATAAAAACTTGTGTCATATAGTCGATAATAAATCAAATTCTCTAGCTTTAACTTTACACATAGACATATATAACTTAACACAATCTGTTCGGCCATGTATGGTATAGTTACGTCATTATCAAATCAATCTATATGGAACTGCCATAAGTCGACCGGCAGTCCATCCTAAGCCACGAAAACAGACTTTTAAACGACGAACTAAAAGTTTTCAGCCAACTATAAACAGGCCAATCTGGATAATTGACTGATTTTGACTCATTTTCACATATTTAATTCCAACATCGAACGACTACAAATTTTTTTAATTCCAACAAGTTCAATAGCTTGAGATGTATATATTTCTTATAAAGTTGTATACATTGGTGTTCAAATAAAATGGCTCTTGGTGTCGCGAAAAAGAGAGAAGATTTAATATTATAGAATCGAAAAGAAGACACTACGTTATTTTGGATTAGATCAATACAGACAAAAGTTCCACTTTAAAGTAATGTAATTTTCTAGCTAGCCAACCTTTCGAGAAAACGAATTGACTATCGTCTACGTGATCAAGTTTAACCCTTTGGTTTTTACCATTTAAAAATATATAGTTAGTAGAAATTAATAGATTAACAAATCAATCGCCAACCAAACGCAAGCACTTGCTATTTTTAAATTAGTCTTTTGGGGTTTATTTTATGTCAGGTGATTAAAAAACAACCGATGGTTGAAGTTGACCGACGGCTCCAAGTGTGTGAGTGTGACACTGATCCGCCAACTTGTTTAATTCCCATCGAAAGCAGATTAGCAACATTATCATAATTGACCATTTTATTTTACTTTTGTTAACCTATTAATGCTTTTAATTAGTTATTTGTCAATTTATACATTATCCTATTTGTCTTGTTTTATTTTATAAGGGCCTCAACACTTATCACATATACATATGTATTGGCTTTTGTCTAGAGGAAAGTTTTTCGTTATCTATCATCTTAAATACACATATTCGTGTTTTTTCTTGACGACTAATATTGGTAAATTATGGTTTATATATTTTTTCACCAATATCATTTTGGATATCGATCTTGATATCTTTTTGAGGATTAGTATGAATTTCCGTCAAAAGCCTTCGATTACAAAAAGAAAAGAAATATATAATATATATTTATTTGTGTGTATTATATTTCCCGGGAGATTTGAAATATAAAACTTTAAAGGAGAAACGGAGGAGGCTTCCTTCAGTGTATACTATAGAATCCTTTGACACGTCAAGTCAAATCGGATCTCCAATAAGCTTTTGTCTAAAGAAATTTAGTCGATGGTATTTTTGACATTATAATTAGGTTAGGATACACTTGCGGTCAAGATTCATGCGAAAATGTAATCATTATTCTTCGAATCGTTTGAAATTAGCATTAAATTAATCATGATTAACACATGATTAGAAAAATCAACGATTCTCTTCAAGTAGACCAATTTAGATATATTAGATAATAATAATAGTAGTAAACAATAATAAGAAAAATAAAGACTATTTTGTGGGACTAAAAACCCATTATAATTTTTTTTTGATCAAGTATAATTTTTATTTTATGTTAGCTGAAAATTTTATATTTTACCTTTCAAGATTACTTTATAAGACATAATTAACAATTAAAAATTTCCTGTGTTTGTATTTATTTTTATATATGTCTTTTTCTCCCTGTTTATCGTAGAATAATCTTTGATGTGATTTAATTCACGACTCACCTACTTAATTGAAACGGGTTTTAAAATATTTTCCGGTACTTTATGAAACTTCTGCAATTTTCTATGCACGTCCACTTATGTGTATCCCATTCTCTTCTTAATTAATTTAATAACATTGCTCACTTTTTTGACCAACCCAATCGCTAGCACAACTTGTATAATACATGTAACTAAAGAAAACACACACAAACGTAATTCCATACATGTGCATGCAATTGTCTGGTTATGGAATCTGCATAAATATTATCATTAAAAAAATTACATACACATAAATATTTTAAAACCTAATATATTTCTTTAATAAGAAATCCTTCGTTGTGGTTTATTAGAAAGCCGTCAATGGATAAAAAAGGCATAAATGAGAAAAGCAATATAGGGAAGGCAAAGCTAAACAATTTAAAAACATAAAAAAAAACAATAACTTCAACACTAAACCTTTTTTCTTTCACACCAAAAAACATGGAAACAAAAAAAACACAAACAAGCGAAGAAAAGTATTCTTCACCTTGGTTGGCTTATTGTGTATGTCTATATATATTCCATTAAACACTTCTCTTAAAACCCAAAACCTTCACAATCTCTCTCCCTCTCTCTCTCTTTTCCTCAACATGACATCAAGAACATTCACAAGACTTTCCAATCTCATTCATATTTTTCTCCTGCTTTCTCTCGTTTTCTCAGGTGATTTTCTTTTTCATAATGAAATTTTAATAACCAAATTCTTATGTTATGCGTTATGTTGCCGCCTTGAAAATATCAACGTGTAAAATTTTAAACATAATGAAATTACGGATCGATAATAAGTAAAATTCAAATTTTTTTGTTTTGTCTATGGATTTTTCAATGTTTGTTTAATGGAATATTTAAGATTTTTTGGCATTGTTTTCTAAAAGTTCGATTCTTTGTTTGGAAATAAATGCAGGGAATATACTACAAAGAGTAACGTCTCTTGGCATCAATTACGGACAAGTTGGGAATAATTTGCCTTCACCTGATAAAGTTATTAACCTCTTGAGATCTCTAAGGATCACAAAAACAAGAATCTACGACACTAACCCTCAAATCCTTAGTGCCTTTGCAAATTCAAACATCGAGATCATCGTCACAATCGAAAATCAAGTTTTGCCATTATTACAAGATCCTCAACAAGCTATCCAATGGGTGAATTCTCACATCAGACCCTATGTTCCGGCCACTAGGATTACCGGAATCATGGTCGGAAACGAGCTTTTCACCGACGACGACTCTAGTTTGATAGGGTAAGTAATAATCATTGAATATGAGTCTAATTTGTTACGTGACCAATCAATTAGATTTTTAAATTAACTGATTTAACATTTTCTAGACTAGCACTTGGTCAAATATAACGAACTCCTATCATATTATATTTATTTAAACTCCACTTCCATTTTAATAAGAAATGAGTGTAATAATTTTGTCCAATAATGCTAATTTCGACTTTATTCTCTCTCTCTCTTTTTCTTTTGGTAATAGATACATGATGCCGGCGATGATCAACATCCACAAAGCCTTGGTCCAATTAGGTTTAGACAGATATATTCAAGTCTCATCTCCGAGCTCTCTTGCTGTTCTCGGTGAATCTTATCCTCCATCTGCCGGGAGTTTCAAGCCGGAGGTTTCCTCCGTGATGCAACAACTTCTAGAATTCTTGGAAGCCACGAAATCTCCTTTTTGGATCAATGCTTACCCTTACTTTGCCTACAAAGATAACCCACAAGAAATCCCAATCGATTACGTTCTCTTCAACCGTAACATCGGCATGACCGATCCCAACACGAGACTACACTACGACAACATGATGTATGCTCAAGTAGATGCAGTTGCTTTCGCGGCTGCGAAATTAGGGTACCGTAACATAGAAGTTAGGGTTGCTGAAACAGGGTGGCCTTCAAAAGGAGATGTCGGAGAGATTGGAGCGTCTCCTTTGAATGCTGCCACGTATAACCGGAATCTTATGATGAGGCAATTCGCCGGAGAAGGAACTCCGGCGAGACGGAATGCAAGGCTAGATGTTTATATATTTGCGTTGTTCAATGAGGATATGAAACCAGGTCCTACTTCGGAGAAAAACTACGGTATATTCCGACCGGATGGATCATTAGCTTACAATTTGGGATTCTCTACAATGTCGACAACGACGGCGAATTCAGAATCTGTCACTTATTCATCCTCTGCCACTAAGGTACAATTAGTATTATGTGGTTTGTTTTGTTAAAATTTTGAATTATTGGGGTCACAATGATAATACATGTTTGTGAAAGGATTAAATGTGTAAAATGAATTAATTCTCTGTTTTTTTCTTCTTTCAGGCAAAGAGGAGCTTGGAATATTGGACAATTTTGATATTGGCGATGGTTCAAGTTGTAATGTTGAGACTATTTTAGAGGGAAAGTTACGTTATTGAGAATATAATAACGCGATTGGTTAGGATATTTATGTAAACAATTTAATTAATTAAGCTCGATAAATTCAAATATCATATTCAAATCAAGTCGGTCAATAGTTAAATTATTAATTTATAGTTGTCGTTGACAAGTGAATTAGACATATGGATATATATAAAAAAAATTAATAACTAATAAATAAACAAAGTTTATTTTTCAAGAAAAACTTATATTGGCGTCTTGTCGTACATGAAAAGCTTTGAGTAACTTTGACCCTTGGGCATAGAATCGATAAACAGTAGCGGTTTAAAATCAACCAAATATATTTTCTCTCTAATTCAAGAAATATGATTTAGCTTAATTCATTTGTATATATTGTTGGATGTTTTAAATACAATCCCTAGTTATATAATATAATTTGAATACAAATCTATGCATTGGAGTGGACGGTACGAAGAATTGGAACTGAGGCTAAAGAAAAAAGCCATGAAACAAGAGCTTATGCTCACGATGCAAATTCACATGCTCATTTCCAATTCTATCGGCTAAATATGCTCCCTTGTTCTTGCTGCAAAACGATGCGTTTTGACCTTGAATAAATTGACAAATATGCTTTTTTTCTCTCCGTATTATCTGACCGATCCCTTAAGTTTAATTTTAATAAAATAATTCAGCTGCACGTACAGAAAAATAAGCAGATTTTGAAGAAACAAAATATACGAACAACAATCAAACATTAATATGCAAATTATTTTCATACACTGGATCGTCAAAAATGCACCGATCAATCCGAACAAAAAAAGAAAGAAAATTTTTAAAAGATAAAAAAACTACAAAAGTGCCACGAGAGGAACAAAATCATTTCACGTACCGGTAACGATCGTGAAGTGCGCTCGGTTATGTGGAGATCTCTAGGGTTGTGTAGAAAGATCGCAAAAGAGAGTGGTAGCGGAATTAGGGTTCTGGTTATGGCATGGAGATGAACCAGAAGGTGGTACGAATCCTTTGGGAAGCATAACCGAGAAAGTATCTGGTCGAACCGGACGGTTTAAACCGTTACTCTTCTTGTTCTTGAAGTTGTCAGCACGATGATGAAGACCACGGCGACGAAGAGTATGTCGATAGTAGAAGTAGTAGTGGTGATCGTAACGACGACGACGGTGGTGGTTGTCTCGCTGCAACCGCCGGTTCAAGATAAACGGCGTTGTTTTCTTGATGTACACGAGTTGGTGCGGTGATTCATTGCCGTTGAGATAAGCTTCGGTCTTTTGTGTTGATGATACTCTTGTTTCTTGATACGAAGATGATGATGATGGTGAGATGAGGAAGACGAGAGTGAGAATAAGAGAGACGAAGAAGCTTTTTAGAAGACTCTGTTTCATCAAAATCAAATCATCCATTGGGATTGAGAGAGAGAGAGTAGGGTTTTGGTTGAGAGAAAGAGAGAGCGTAAAGATGAAACAAAAGATGATAACGATCGAGGGAATTAGAATTATATAAATCCTTTTGATGGTTCAAAATTAATTAGTGATAAGTATATCATTAATGAAAACAAAATAAAATTTCGTCGATGTTAAATATGAATATAGTTTTATATTGTACTCTCAATAGATTAAACTTGTAATTTGTTTGAAGGGACTAATGTGAAGTCGAAAGAAAGTGATTGGAACATACAAAAGTTCAGATGTTTATTATTTTTGAATGCAAAAAAAAAGAAAAAATCATCACTACCTCATTAGAAAGGAGGAGGAGGAACATCAATGGTGGTTCCAGCCAGAATCTGACCCTTACCAATAAGACGCCAGTGCCTATCGACACGGCGGCTTAAAGCCACCTTCTCTCCTATGGTGGTACATACCGGAGACGTCAGTTGGAGTTTCACCATATCTTTCTTCACTCCAATAACCTTAGCTCCTGTAGACATCGACCCGATGTTCACCATTAGTATCTCTTCTTTGGTTAGCTTTGACACTTTCATTTGCTTCTCTCTTTCCTTTGTCCTTACTCCAATGAGACGAGTCAGAAGCTGGTAACTTACTTCAAGCTCAACAAAGACATCAGGGAGAGAACCCATTTCACCAAGGACTTGACCAACCAACCTATCAGCACGCGTAAGCGTAGGGTCCATGGTTGTTCCAACTCCAATTAGACCTCCCGGGACAGCAAACTGAAGCTCGTTCTGTTCCGCGTATAGTGAAGTTATACGAGAGTAAATTGGAGTGCATTTTGAGTTTCCAAGTTCATCTTTGCCAGTGATACCAGGTCTAATTTCAATCAGTTGGTTCACTTTCAAAACACCCTAACAAAGAGAGACACATATAAATACAAAATTGTTTCACACTCAAGTAAGAACAGAGAAGAAACAGAGAGATAAAAACATACCTGGAGGATACTTCCACCAGCAACTCCACCTTTCATTTCATGACCAGCAGAGCCAGGTTTATTGACATCGAAAGAACGAATAACAATCATCTTCGGTGGTGACACAAAGTCTCTCACAGGGATTGGTATCTTCTTGACAATGTATTCACTCACAACATCAATGTTGTATTTCAGTTGTGCTGAGACAGGAACTATAGGTGCATCCTCAGCATTTGTGTTCTGCAACAAGGATATATGTGACAGAAAATCTGAGAACCAAACCTGAAAGATTTAACAACAGATAGGAAAATCAATCAAACCGTTATAAATTTCTGAATCGCCTCGTGCTGTTCACTGGCGGCTTTCTCATTATGAGATATTGAGATCAATCTTGTTCTGAAGGATTATGATATGCTTAAGACGCATCATATCAACGGAAGCAAGATGTTCAGCAGTTTGTGGTTGTGGACAAGTCTCATTAGCAGCAATTAAAAGTAAAGCACCATCCATGATTGCTGCTCCATTGAGCATTGTCGCCATAAGAATATCATGTCCCTGATGAATACAAAACAGCTCAATTACATATAGCCAATGGTTCTAGTTTTGAGAAACAAAGTGTAGATAAAACTCATTAATACCGGACAATCGACAAATAAGACATGTCTCAGTAGTTTCATCTTGCATTTCTCAAATCCAGGGACATCACAATTCGGGTTGTCTTCTTTTCCACTCCATAGGACCTAAAATTAATAAATAAGTTGCTACTACACATAGCCTTATCATATAAAAAAGAAACAAGATTAAGACTCACTTGTAACACATTGGTCTAGGGCACTTGTCATCCTCACATTTGTAAATCTTTGCATTTGCATAACCAAGTTTAATGGTAATGTTACACTCCAATTCATTCTTAAAACGCACAGTCTGAACACCAGAGATAGCTTTCACAATAGTCGATTTACCGTGTGCGACATGACCAATGGTTCCTGAGATATATAGCACAGTGTTGGTTTCTTTGACATCAAGTTATATATAGACCTAGAGGAGCTAGCAAAAGCAGATTTTTTTACCTATATTTATGGTGGCTTGGCGAGAAATGACCTCAGGAGACCAAGTTTACTTAGATCTTGCTCAGCCAAACCCTTGTTACGCAAACCTTTTCTATATGTCTATCAAAATTGCCTTATGATGAACTAGGCCCAGTCTTATTATTAGTAAAATCATCAGAACCCAATAGGGCCCAATATTATAATGAAACCTGTAAAATTATACTCGAATTTATAATCGGATTCCTTCGGGAGGTGAGTTTTTGTAGAGTTTTCAAAGCAAAAAGAAAAAAAAACATCTGTTTGTAGAATTTTTCATTTTACTCTTTGCTAAACAAACATTTTAAAGAAATTTGAATCTCTCTCTTTTTGGATGTTTTCTTATTACAGCTGCCTATAATAAAAACAGTTGAAAGAAGAATTGACACTAATGAAAAAATGCAACTTCTTTATAAGGAAAAAACATATAGTTTAAGGTAAGAGTATGACTACGATTTGTCAAGTACCAAGTGACGACCAGGTGCATACTTTATCGAATAAATTAAAATCAAGAAATCAGCACTGTTTTCTTAATCTCAAGCGTCTTTTATCTATTATGTGGACAGTTTAATTATTATAAATTCAAATTGCTGCATACACCACGTTGATAAATTTATTTGTACGATACGTTTAGTTAATATACTTGTGATCAGATGTTTTACGAATTTAGAATTCTTTGTCTGTCTATTACATTTTGACGTAAAAATAAATTAATAAAAGATTTTATTAACAAACCAAAGTAGAGTTTCTTAACCAAACCACAATAAGTAGAGTTTGCAACACAATAAATAGTAATACTTCAAATCTTAAACCACACAGATTAAAAGATAGATAACGAAAAAAAAAAACACAGAGAAATAATTAAGAGCTAGTCATGAGGTAGATATATATAAAGAGAAGAACACTAGGCTAAGCGCGAACCTCAACCCAAACTCCGTCAATGTAAGAAACGCTTTGACCGTCATAAGCACCCCAACGGTTGTTTCTCACTCTCTCGCGATCAGTTTTAGTGCCTATAATGGCTAGAGTTTGTGGAGATATCTGAAGACGATCTTTCATCTGATCAAAAGATTGGCCGTGGAAAGGATTCCATTCGATGGGATCATTCTCTTGAGTCTTTGAGACATTCCATTCTTGGGTTTGGAAGGTGAAGTCAAAAGTATGGCGCACCCGTAATAAAATTGATATTTTGTCCGCAGATGGGGAGATGGCCTGTATAGCCGAATTATAAATGTGATGGTCTGAGGTAGGGATATGAGTCACTGACCAGTTCTGATCCCATTCTCCGTTCCTCTTGGCTACATAATATATTTGTAGATCAAGAACATGCCCATGCGGTGTATCCATAAGATTATTATCGGAAAAGCTATCGGCTAGGAGACAAGCATAAGTATTGTCTTCACGTGGATCTCCCGTGAGCACACCGTAACGGATCACACTATCGCGATATTGGTTTCCAATGGTGAGAACGGGTAGTTGGTACCGTTGTGAAGTGAACGGGTTGTATAAGAAAGTTTGGTGGTGTTGGCGTGGGTGTATGGCAATGGAGTCGGACATAACAACCCAACCCAATGTTGATCCTAAGAATTTGGCCCCTTCAAGATTTGGGTCTTTCCTATAGTGTAGACTCTCTCTCACAGGGTCGTAGAAACGGGTCTCTCCGGATCCAATTTCACGGTACAACAACCAAGGCCTTTCCTCTCTGAAACTTCCATCACGGAAAGAAGGAAACGTTCCCCTCCAATGACTGTTGACGCCTCTTAGTTTATCATATTCGGCAAAGTTAGGGTTAAGCAAATTTGTAGATGTTCTGAGGAGCTCTTGAGGCAAACTTCCCCATGAATCCCTGCAAGAGAAACAAATTTGAGAGAAGTGAGATGACAGCATAAACTATAAGAATTAACAAAAAAAAAATGGAAGATATATTTTTTCAAAAGATGTTCTCAAAATTCCTCCAAAAAATGAGATGATAGGAAGAAAAATAATTTTGAGAGAAATGAGATCTGATCGCAGAAACTATATATGAGTTAAGAGAAAATGGAAGAAAATATTTTGCTAGCTACATTTAAAAAAAAAAAAACATTGCAAGAAACGAGTTAATGAAATGATAGCAAGAATATATAAATTTTGAGATGAATCATAGTGATAGCACAAACTATGAGAGAAAAGAATGGAAGAGGGTAGTTTGTTTAGATACATTTCGAAGAGAGCAGTCTTTTAGTGATTCTTGTTTGAAGAGAGAAATTTTGTTTGATAAATAATGTGTGTGGGGAGATAGAATGAAGAGAATACAAGTTTTATAGAAAAACTGAACCATAGCTTTAAGTTAAAACGAATATTTTCTTCAGAAGTACATTAACACACAATCTACTAAAATTAACAAAGAAATATAATTATGATTTCGTGCTTTCTTTCTCATTAGTCATTACCTAACACCAACATTATCACCATGGTGACGCGATCTCCAGCCACCATATTTCAAAGTAATCCTATATTAAGTAATTAAGCTTTTTTAAGACTTGATTATAGCCGTCAATTTTAAGTTTGTTACACTTTCTCTTCTTTTTCCACGTACCTTAAGTCCATGCTGGTCCCATATCCACGTTATGAAGTTACCAAAGACGGTAATAATGTTTTGCAGACGTAAGGACACAAAAGTAAAGGTTGAATTGGGAAGTTTCGTTTGACACTCACATTTTAATCTGCTTTACTCTATCTACAAAACGTTTCGTATGAGTTCTTCTGATAGCCTAGTCGACATGTCTCTTGCACATACACGTATACAATAGATTGATGGGAAATATCTTATTCAACAATACAAACATAAGATTGTTGATTATGCCAGTTAAATAACTGAGTACTATCTCTTAAATGTAAATTATCAACTTACAAAATAGGCTGTATAATGAAATTACATTGCAACATATAAACTCACGTTTTTACCAATTCAGCTATCTTCTTCTTCTTCTTCCTCCTCAGATGCTTCCTTGAGCCACTGTATCAATGCCTCACATTGATTTAGAAAAACTTTGTCACATTCGTCTGCGCCTGCTTTCTCTTCCCCCCATCTCAAGATCGCATCTTCTTGCACCACGTCTTTGTCATACAGAAAATGCACAATCTTAGCAAACAAAGGCCCCAACTCTGCAGATTCCTCACACATCTCTTCGAATTTCATTATCACTTCTATCTGTTCATCAGTTTGCTTTAAATAGAACCCAAGAACTCCCTTCCATTTAGTAATGACACCCGTCGCGTTTCTGTACAATTCCCTAGCAGAATTATGTGGAGTATTAACTGCCAGTCTCATCATAGAGTAGAATACTGCTCCAGCACAATCTGCAGATGCCATGTTGTACGCAAATCGGCGTGAGTTAATCAAGCGAATTACATGGTCCACATCATCCTTTATAATGGCCATTAAGAAGGTTTCTTCAACCTCTCTCTCAAAGTAGCCATAGTCATCATTTGCATCAGTGTTAATACTATCAGTATCAGATTTCAACTCTCCAGAAGGTGGGACAACACTTTCATCATCTATGTCATCATCGTTCATCGCCCGAGTGATATCGGCAAGTTTATCCATGGGGATTGGTACAACAGAATGTTTCCACTCCTCATCATGAGCGCTGTCACATACTTTCCATATGTAACCTGTTCCATCAGGACCAAGCTCAGATGCTTTGGACTCCAGTTGCAAATTATTGACGCCTGATAAAAGATCTGCAGTCCCGCTGCTACTACCAGCATATTCCATCTCTTCATCGCTGTCTTCTGTAGTTGGCTGTTGAAGTAAAGAGACCTTTGAAAATGCAGGTACAACAAAGTCCCGCCCAACTACAACATTGAAAGACAAAACAACACCAGGCTGCAGAACAGCTCCTGCTCTGATTTTCACTCCATCACAGACAATAGCATTCCTTATCTCACACCCATCTTCAATCGTAACATTGTTCCATATGTATGAGCCTTGTATCACCACATTTGATCCAATACAACATCCATTCCCAATAACAGAGTTAAAGATTTTACCTCCATTACCAATTTTTGCGCCGTATCCAATGGCAGTGGAAGCTCCAATATCAGCAGAGCGTGATTGAACTGAATCAGAAGCCCGGTATATCCCCTGTCTCCCGAGCTTTAGAGGGCGATTCCCACTGAAATTTATATCAGGTACGTACGGGTATGTCCACCTCTGGATTATATTCTTGCTAACCATATCATAGCTCCGTAAATTGTCAATCCTTGCAGCATAAAAACTCGACTGAATCTCATGAGTGAAAATCTTGTAACCCATAATATCATCAACAAGCAAACCATTGACAAAATGACGGCGCAGATGTTGATAATCAAAGTTATCCTCAAAGAGACTAAGCACCTCAGGAGAACAAATGTCAATGTAACAATCCTGCATATCATTGCATACTAAAACAGACGGATTACTACTATTTAACAATGACTTATCTAAGCAAACGTCCCCGCTTCTCGCATTACCTTCCTCGTAATGAAGAAGCTGTTTCGTTAAAGGATCAACTGCCATAAAGATTTGATCAGATCCTATTTCTAATCTAAACTGCTTCTTAATAACCATAGTCATGATAGCTTTCTCATCTTTCTTCTTCCTATCTCTATGTTCTTGAATCAAATCAGCAAGTGGCATATTACTAACAGTATCACCACTAACAAGAACAAAATCACCTTGAATCTGAGACGTCTCTGTCTGTTGTTCATATATATAACGCAGAGCATCACCAACACTTGTGGATTTGGGAGACACTATCGTTCTCACCAACAAGTTTGGGTTTGAGCGTGAGTACCATTCCGATTTCTCTAGGTAATCGATGACCAGCGACGAGTGAGCACAACAGAACAAGAAAATCTCTTCGATCCCAGCTGATTCGAGCCATGCTAAAGTGTAATCAATCATCGGGATGTTCACTAGCGGTAATAGTACCTTTGGGCGTTCTAGGGTTATGGGACGGAATTGAGTGGTGAAGCTGTCCGCTAGAACTATGGCTTGTAATCGTTGACGAGTTAGATCCTCCGAATCATCTCGAACCCTAGCCGCGGCGGCGACTTTCTTCTGAGCACCCATATCTCCGATCAATTTGATTGAGATGAAAATTCACGACAGACGTAAAGTCGTAAACAAATCCTCGCATGATAAAATCTTTAATAGGATCTTTTAAGATAAAGAATGTTTTATTTTATAATTAACTAGGCCCATCTCATTTATTCGTAATCAACTCATCTAAGCCCAATCAGGCCCAATATTGAAACCTATATACGTTTACGCGGGAAATGCTCTGTAGAATTCAGAATTCAGTCTTTGTTTTGTTTCTTCTCGAATTCTTCAGATACAGAGAAATTGCAGATCGATGCAAGTGTAAATACGTGTTTCCTATCTCAATGTGAAAGAAGTTTCGCCGGATAATCTCCAGGTTTCTTCTTCATCGAAATTTCTGGTTTCTTCTATTGATTCGGCATTTGACAGTACATAATTTACTGAATATAGTTTTTGATTTGTTACTTGATGAAGATCTAGAGTCAAGTTTATGGATCTGGAAGATGAAATTAGCCGTAAGTATCTGGGTTCATTTCTAGTTTTGGTTCCCATTTAGATATATATCATTCACAGTGACGTGAACACCAAGTGTTTGATTATATGATCTTCTTCTCGAAACCTCATCGATTGTGATTATCGAGTCAAGTCGAGAAATGTGACCGTGTACCATGTTAATTTCGATGATTTTATCAGAAATTCTGATGGATTAGCATTGCCCAGTTAAGTATCTCTAGAGTTTTCTTTGATGATCAAATTTTTTTCGATAAAACTTGGGAAAATTTTACATTGCCTGCAGATATACATACATACTCTATGGAAATACAATAATGGTTACTAGAGTCACGTTAGGAGTTTATACCTTCGTACTCATTGATGAAAAAATACAAATGATCACCATCTCTAATCACATCTACATCATCTATTTCTGCGTTTTCCGCATTCGTGACCTTTGTGAAGCTTCTATGTCCAAATTTGTCACCTGCACCATAATTTCCCAGTTTATTTAGTGAAGCTTATGTATGGAGAAGTCTTGTGTTTTTTTATTGTTATTTACTTTGCTTTGTTCTTATGTTTAGTAGTTTCTTAGAGCATTAAGAAGTAAACGAGCTTACCTGCAAGTTTTAGCAGCTCTTCTATAGAAGCAGGAAGGATTATCAGCTTTGACAAATCGTTTTCCCGCGACTTCAAGTGGATGGTAACTCTCTTATCTTTTGGTTTTACAGCTTCATGTTGTTTGATTTGGATGTTTGATCTGCAATATGGATATGCTTCCTGTGAATGAAATTCAAATGAGGTAAGATCTGCATTAGAGCAACCTTTTCCATCAAATTCTTTATTTGGGTTTTCCCCTTCTTCTATCTCTATCCTATGTTCTCGAGCTCTTTTCGTTTCAACATAACCAGATCTTCTTGAATCCCTCCATTCAGTTGACCCCATATCAATATTTTTTGTATCATGCAGTTGTAAATATTTGTGTCCATGTCCTTGATCACTGGTGTTTCCTTCTTCTGTCTTTGGATCACCACCAAGCCACTCCTGGAGAAGTGAGTCTGCTTCTGTATTTGGATCATCAATTGCTATTGACTGTTGCCCTCTAAGTTTCTGCAAATTTCATCATGAGTTGGTATTGACTATTTGATTGTGAAAACTGAAAACATCTCTGAAACGACTTAGTTATATTGTATCTTTCTTACTTACCATGAAGAGGTTGTTCATTATGACACGTCCATCTTCAACATGAGCTCGCATAGCACTCATTAGAGATTTTTTGCTGATCCGTAGTATTTGAGATAGTTCAGTTGTCCTAACTGTGAAAGGTTGTGGTGTATAGCATAAGACACCAATCTCTCCAAATGCATCGCCAACAACCGCCTTGCCTTGAACCTACATGAATGTAAGGATTATGGTTATTGCTCTTTCTTTCAGCTAACAGTTCTACAGTGAAGTTCTTTAGGTGAAATATATTGTTCACATACCTGATCTTCTTCGCCAACATAGACAGTAAAATCCTGCACAGTCACCACATGAGCGAGTAAATATGTTAGAAGGTAACTTCAACATTCCTATACCGTTATTGAGTTTTTATTTCAGTCACTCACCACTGCCCCTGAGACTAGGATGTAAAGGTCTGTAGGAGCTTCGTTCTGTAGTATTACATCTTCTCTTGGTGGGAAATATTCGGCGTCTATATCTGAAACCTTGGTTGGAAAAGGTATATCGAGTTGGTAACTTTATGGAACAAGAACATAGAGAAAGAGATGGACAAATAAAGAGTTTACAAATGAGTATTTTACCAACTGAAATAGGAAGTTGCGAGAAACTCCTTGAAATAGGTATACGTTCTGAACGATTGGGAAGAAGAGATAGTTTGCAATGCTTGACCGAATTGCTTTCGGCAAACCGTTCAAGGTTTCTTGTTGTTTCAGACCCTCTGTTTTGAATTTTAAGCAAATGTGTGATAACATCTGGTCTTGTATGTTTGGTGGGAGTTGGTTTCTTGATGCAAACTCTGAAGCAGCTCTTACAGTATCTCTCTGTTAAATTCAAAGAATCAGGTTTCTTATTAACCTATGA